GAGGGTGAGGAGCCCCTGCCCTGGCCCCTACCCCGCAGCTCTGTCCCAGCGCCCCCAGCCCGGGCCTGCCCCTACCCTGACCCCTACCCCAGTGTGTTAAAGGTGTTTTAATTAAGGCGAGTGCGTGGGCTGCAGCAGCTTAGCCAGACGTGTGAGATTGAACCTCAGGCAGGGAGGCAGGCGACGGGCTCCATCGCTCCAGCTGGTGACTTCAGGCAAGCCCCTTAACCTCTCTGTGCAGCAGGGAGAAACGGTACCTGGCTGACGGGATTTCAGTGCAGGACCTAACATAGTGGAGCCAGGGCCTGGGCCTGGCGATGGGCCCCTCCCCGCAGCCTCCCACTCAGCGGGACTCTTCCCCCTGGGTGACACACGCACTCCCCACATTCCCGAGGCACAGTTCTGTGGGTGAGCTCTGCTCCCACCACTGGAGCTATACCGCGAGGCTCCCTGCTGCCTTTTGTGCCACATCCGGCCTGTTTTACACTTCCTCCTGCAACGGGCTGGAAGTGACAAAGGCATGGGAAGCCCCCACCTGAGTCCAGCTTGGCCATTTCCTGCCTGTGTGGCCCTGGTCGGGTTGCTGACCCTCCCTGAGCCTGTTCCTTCATCTGTGATGTGTCCTAACGGCTTGTACTTATCAGCATAGTTGTGAGAGGTTAGCAGGACAAATACCACTTCGCCAACCTCCCGCACGTGTTCATTCCTGGAATTCCTTTGCGGTATCCCCTGCAGCCAGCCGTGTCCTTTAGACCTGTGTGCTGCTGGCCCCTGCAGCCACAATGTCTCTCCGCTTCCTCTTTCAAGGGGCCAAGCCTCAGGCTGCACACCCCAGCCACTGGGGGTGTCAGGAGGAAGCTGACACCTTCCCTCTGCCCTCGCATTTGCCAGGTGCCGCTGCGCTGCCCAGAGGCTGCATTATACCCGAGACAATGGGGTGGGACCTGACCTCAGGGAGCTTCTAATCTTGTGAGAAGTCAAGCCTGTAAAACAACGTGAATGTGCCTAATGCAGCAGAAATACACACTTCAGAATGGATAGGACAGTGAATTGTGTGCAAAAAGTACCTTAAGAGGAAAAACATGTATATGTAGGAAAAGATCTGGATGGATTTACACCATACTCTTCCCAGTGGTTATTTATGAACGAAGAGACAGGAGTCTCCACTGGGAACATTTTTAACAATGAATATGATACTTTTGTAACAATGATGCAGTTTATCGCTTTCTCTCTCTTCACTCCTGTTCCAAAGTCGAACAGGACTCAACAGGTAGTTGAGTGCCTAGAAAAACACAGTTGTACAAATATGTATTAACTGAGCTTCTGAATCAAAACGGGTAAACTAGAGCAAAATAAATATTTAAATGGAAAAAAACGGAAAAGTGAACTTTCTGGGGTCAGGTGTAAGCAGAAGTGCTGGGGATGCAGGGATGACAGTGCGCGGCACCCAGAGGTGCCGATTCAGCGGAGGCGGACCCAAGAAGCCTCAGAGCCAGGCCTTGCCGCAGGCAGTGGGCACAGAAATGGGAGAGGGTCTGTGAGAGCTGCCAGCCTCTGAGGGGTGGGCAGGGTGCCATCCAGTGAGGAGGAGCCAGACTCTGCAGCCCCACCCCAGCCTGACCCCCCAGGGCAAGTGACTTGACCCTTTTGCTACAGCCCCACCTGTAATGTGGGGGTAATACCCACAGGGTACTGGGAGGTGAGAGAGGAAACGTGCTCAGAGGACGAGGACTGCGGCCCTGGGGCTCTGGGCTAGCAGCACCTTTATTCCACCGCCACTGCCTGCTCTTGAGCAGTGTAGGGGGTGTCCTTCTAGGAGAGGGAACACCTGGCCGCAGGTGTGTTTGGCCAAACTGGTCCAGCAGGTGGCAGTGGGGCTGGTGGCCCAGTGTCCTACCCCACCCCCTAGCCTCTCAGCAGCTCCCTGGTCAGGACTCCCCACCAGATCCAGCTCCACCACATCCCAGTCCTGCTGCCTGCCTGCTGGCCACCGTTGTTCCAGAGACCTGCTCCTTAGCCGGTCCTCGGAGAGCTCTGAGCCACGGCCCTGCCCCCACCCCTCCTGGCACTCCCAGGGCTGCCTCTAGGCCCCTTTGTGGGTAGGAGTTCCTCCCTCTGGCTGTTGTCCAGGCTCCAGGTTCCTATCAGTGTGGTGGACATCACAGATCCAGGAGTTTGTGGAGAAGAGGATGGGCGAGGCAGGAAATTACTTGTGTCCCTACCCCAGCTGGCCCCAGAGAAGGAAGGCTGTGTCCCAGCTCATTTCCTGGCCCTTTACTCCTCCATGGGATGCGGAAACAAGTCTGCTGGGTCCTGTGACACCCACCTGTCCGCTTTCCCCCAGAGAAACAAGCAGACACAGGAGAAGGGGCTCCAGGCCCGGGAAGCAGCATCTGAAGGCTGGGAGGCAAAAAGGAGGTTCCTGCGTCCCCCACAATCCCCCAGCCGGCCGTGAGGTCGAAGGCAGGGGTCTTGGAATCTGTACTTTAGGCCATGAGCCCTCACGTGCATCCTGGGAGGTCAGTGAGCCTGCTGCCCTCCCGCTGGATCCTCATCACTCATCTAGGGAGCCTGTTCCGAGCTGCCTGGATTTCAGGGCCTACAGAGTATTTATTTCTGGGCCCAGAATTGCAAGGGAGCTGGGCAGCCAGCTGTTTCCCGGGGCGGTTCAGTGTTACGTTTCTCTCCCGAGCAACAGGCCAGAGCAGTTTGCAGGCCCAAGAGGCAGCTTGGCCTCTCTCTGCCCAGGGGCATCTGAGCTTGCTGGGAGATTTGCGCCATCTTTCTGTTGTTTGTCATTGGCTCAGGCCAGCTTGGCCTGGTCCCCGGTCACACAGTCTCCCTCGTGGTTACAGTGTGGGTGTCGGTCCTGCTCTCACCTGATTGCTCTTTTTATTGAGCACCTTTCATCTGTATTCCCTGTTTGCTCTTTGCAGCCTGGGGCTGTACTGTGTTCCCTTGTGAGGACATGGAAGGGTGACAAGGTGTGTGAGCCTGTCTCCAGAACCTTCCATCACACATGCCCCTTCTTTCTGAGTTATTCGCACGTGTCTACATCAAGAAATTAACTTTCAATTCCTGTCTCTGACAGAAGAGAGATTTTGTGTGTTTTTTTTCTCCCTGTACCCTGTGCCTTTTGCCTTCCCAGTCCGCTTTCCCTCTCCCCGTCCCCCGGGCCTGCCCTTCTGAGCCCAGTCCTTATTCCTCCAGGAGACCTGTGTGCTCTGGACAAGGACACCCCACCCCGCCTGGGTGGTGAGTCCCCGAGACTGCGGGCATCCCCAGCCTGGGTTCTTGCTGAGCCTCTTGTCCCTCCACAGAGTGAAGACTGACAGGGGCCCGGCAGCAGCCCCCGGGGATGCCCTGGGCATGGCCTCTGCAGCCCCGCAGCCCAGCAGTCAGACAGCAGAGGAGACCCCTGGCTTCGTGGACGCGTTCCTCCATCAATTCCCAGCCCCACTGAGCCCGGAGAGTCCTCTGCCATGGAGGGTCCCTGGGACAGTCTTCAGCCAGGAGGAGGTGGAGGGCGAGCTGGCTGACCTGGTGATGGGCCTCCTGGGCGGCAGGTGGGCCAGGGGCACGGGGGGGGGGGCCGGAGGGGAGCACGGGTGCTGACTTGACCCTGCACCTCTGCTCAGTGTCCAAGGGCTTTGCCAGGGCGGCCGTGACAAAGCACCACAGACCAGGTGGGTTAGAACAACAGAAACACCCCATCTCACAGCCTGTGTTGGTCCGTGGGGTTCTCAGGGTTGAAAATGGAATCTGGCATGAGCTGTCCCGAGGTCAGATCACCAAGTTCAGGGCCATGGTGATTTACATCCCATTCCCACCCACCCCTCATTGTCAGTGATCATGTCTCAGGTCCCCAGGCAGCGTGTCCCTGATGCTGTAACCACTGATGTATATTTTCACTTTCTGCTGCTGGACTGTACGCTCCTTGGAAACCCCAAGGAGGGCTGCACAAGAGCATGTCTCGGGTTCCTAGTCACTGGCGTCTTTAGGAGCCTCAGGGTGCTGGATGGGACCCCTGGATGAGGCGAGAGGGGTGCCAGGGAGCCAGGCCGTGGCCCACAGCCAGGCATTGTCTGGTCTCATGGCTGGAAGCTGCCCTGCCCCCAGCAGGCTTGGCTGGCCTGCAGGAAGCTGCTGGGCTGTGTCCCTTACCCTCACCGGGAGCAGGAGAACCCAGTGGAGTAAGGGAAGCCCAGCGGCTGGCAGGAAATGCCTGTGCCGCAGAGGAACTCACTTCTCCCATCTTGGCTGGTGGTTTTGCAGAAGCAGTTCCGGTGGGGAGGGTAGAGCTCAAGTGGCAGGGCTCATGCTTAGCTTGCACAAGGCCCTGGGTTCAATCCCCAGTCCCTCCATTGAAAAACCAAATAAATAAATAAACCGAATTACCTCCCCACTGCAAAAAATGATTATATATATAAAAAAGAGCAGTTCCAGAGGCCTCATCGCTGAAGTCACTCTCATTTTAAAAAATTACATAGTTATCCCACTAGGTCCCTGAGCCCATCTGTAGATACACCATGGATGCCCAGAGGGACGTGACCACCTGCCCAGCTATCAGGAGGTCCTTGCTCTCAGGGAAAGCCAGTGTCAGCCTGGCACAGTCATGGCCACCCTGGGCGGGGCCTGGCCCTCAGGGACAGGCTCACGGTGTGTCCTGGAGGCTGTAGGGGCACCCCCTATGCCCTGGGTCCAGTCTCTGCACCCCCAGACTTCCCAGGAGCCTCCAGCATCCCTTTGCTTCTGCCTGGAGTCTCCCCTTCCCCCCGTTTGCTTTCCCACACCCGCCTGTGCTGACCCCAGCTCTGTTCTGGGTAGCCTGAATGTCACTTTTGAAGCAGCCAACCATGTCTCGCTCCCCAGACATGGCCCCAGGCGGCGCTCCTGGAGTCACCCCATTTCTCTGGTGCTCTCTGCCCCATTCATCCACCCAGACCACATGCCCCCTGGCCTCAGGGCCCTTGACCTCACTGGGCCCGGAGACTCACTGCAGACCTGGCCGGTCCCCTTCCATCCACTGCCAGACCCAGTGCTTGCCCCTCAGTCCACCCTCCGAGGCAAGGTCAGGGAGGTCTGGAAAAGCCCATTCAGATCACGTCACGTCCCTCTTCAAGCCATGCCAAGGTCATGGCTTCCGTTACTCTGACAGTGGCCCCCCCACCAAGGGACCCCCTTCACCAACAGCCCCGAATGACCCACCTTGCCCAAGGATCCCTGGGCTGCACACAGCCTGGCCTTCCAGACACATCCCGTGGATCCCATGCTCCCTGGAGTCCTCTCCTGGGGCGGCTGTGACCAGACACCACAGGCTGGGCAGCCTGAGCAGCAGGAACATGTTGTCTGGGGGTCCTGGAGGCTGCAGGTCCCAGGTCAGGTGTCGGTGGGGCTGGGTCCTTACCTGGAGGCTCATCACTACAGTACCCTCCTCATCTTCACGTGGTGTCTCCCCGTGGTCTGTGTCCAAATTCCTCCTTTGTTATTTTTTTAAATTTATTATTATTATTATTATTATTATTATTATTTTTGTACTTTGGTGGGGAGGTAATTAGGTTCATTTGTTTTAAGAGGAGGTACTGGGGATTGAAACCGAAACCTTGTGCATGCTATAAACATGGGCTGTACCACCTGAGCTATATAGTCCCCCCTTAATTTCTGCTTTGAATAAGGACACCAGCATCATTGGATTAGGGGCCCACCCTACTGCAGTGTGACCTCATTTCAACTAATTGTGTCTGCAGGAATCCTATTTCCAAATAAGGTCACATTCTGTGACACTGGGGGTTAGAGCTTTATCATGAATTTTGGGGACACAGTTCAACCTGTAAGACTCCCCAACCCCCTGCTTGTGTTGGTGACCAGGAGCTGTCATGAAGCCAAATGTGCTGGGCAGTTTGGCCTGGCCACCGAGGCCAGTAGACGCAGCTCACATGTCTGTGACACCCTCTCCCAAACAGCCCCCACCCACGTTGGTGCAGCCAGGCCCCCATAAATGGCATTATAGGGACGTCTGTCTAGCTCCCCAGGGACCAGAGGCCAACCTGCTTGTCGTGGCTGTGCATGAAGTGTGAGCAGTCACTGCTGCGTCTGGAAGGGCCTCCCTGAGTGGAAAGGGGCCCTTGGTCTCCACCTAGAGCATCGGGGCAGGCCCTGGGCTCATGGGTTCTGCCGAGCGCCAGTCCCTCACTCCTGTTCTGTCCTCAGGAGCGCTCCACCACCACTTGCTGCGTGTCTGGCCCACGAGGCAGTTTCCCAGCTGCTGCAGACGGACCTTTCTGAGTTAAGGAAACTGCCGGAGCAGGAGGATGAAGACAAGGAGGAGGAGAAGGCCCCTGTGACCCGTGAGTTCTCCCTCTCGGGGCCCCGGGCTCAGTGGGCACGGGGTCCAGGCCGCAGGGGAGCATCGGGTCTCATCTGGCCCCCTTTTCCGTCCTGTTTTGCTGGTGGATGGGCAGTCGTGGGCAGCACCAGGCACGTGCTCACAACAGAGTGGCAGAGTCCAGTTGCAGGGAAGGGCCTCCCTGTCGTGGAGTCGGCTGGTGGGAGCCGTGCCGGCTCCCAGAGTTTCAGAACAGCCTGGAGACAAGCAGCCTGGTCCGGGTTCATGAGGGAGAAACCCGCTTGCACACCTACTCTTCTGCCTCAGTGGCTGACGTGTGGGTGGTGACGGGGGAGCTGTTCCCGGGGCAGCCTCAGCCATTTCTCAGCTGATCCAAGTCGAGACCCATCAGGCAGAGACTCGGACCCTGAGAGCTTGGGGAGTCGCCATGGAGGCCTGTGTGTCCTGCTGCTGGCTGGGGGCCAGAGGAGCCCAGGTGGAGCAAGCCTCACATAAGTCAGGGCCCTCGTCTCGCAGGCCTTTCTCACTTTCCTCGTAGTCCGTTCCGACAGTATTTCACCCAAATGTCGGTTCGCATTGGACCAGAGCCGCAGGGAGCGAGGTGTGGGCCTGGCCTGGAGCAGGGGCTCACCCCTCCCCATGCTGGAGAAGGTACAGCAGGGCACTCAGGATACAGGGGGGTCCTGGGCAGGGATGGGGGTCCCGGAGGTGAGGGAGCAGGGCTGGGAGGCAACGGGAGCCTCAGCAGATTTCCCTTCCTTTGCCATTTCCTATCCAGCTGTGTTACTTTGTTATTATTTTTTATTGACATAACTGATCTGTAACATTGTTTGACCCAAGTGTACAGTGTGTCCGTTTGATCCCTTTTACATATGGTTACCCAGCACCTCCACCACCTCCCATGATTATTATCCATGTGGCCTTAGTGGCATTAGTGTCACATGGAGGGCAGAGGGAGGAAGTGGGGGGCACACGTGGCCTCCACCGCTGGGGTAGGTGCCGGCCTTCCGCCCTCTTCCCTGGCTGCCCGCCCGCCTTCATCCCAGCACAGCCTCGCAGGCCTGCCCCGGTGTCCAGCCGCAGGGCAACAGACAGCCTTTGTCCTCTGAAAAGCCTGTCACCAAAGCCAGCCCCGCCCAACCCTGCCTGCATCTACCGGGAAGTAGCGCCACCTGCTGGCGGGAAGGAGCGCGCTGCTGACACCCTAGAGTCGGTGCCCCACTCCGAGGGCCAGGGAAGGGGGGTGGATCTCAGCCACCGCCCTCCGAGCAGGCCTGGGCTGGCCGCCCTCCTCAGCTCACCCTGTCATGGGAGTGGAATGCAGTCACCGCTGCCTTTCGAAGCCATTCTTGCAAACTGGCACCATGTGGGTGTTACAAGAATCCCAGCCCGAGGGCAGGGGTATGACTGAGAGCTTTCTGGCCTGCCACAGGGATTGGTTCCCAGGAAGACAGGCTCTCCCATGGGCAAGTGGTCCTCCGTGGCTCTTTGTCCTCATCTGTAACTGCCCTTTGCTGGAGCCCAGGGTCCAGTTTACACATGTTGACTGATGTGGTAGCAGGACCTGAGGCGGAGGGTGCACAGTGCCTCTGCCTCCCTGGCTGTTTCATGCCTGACACAGGCATGGAGCCCGGGTCCAGGGGAGAAAAGAGGGGCAATGGCGTGAAGACCGACTGGACAGGGCTCTCCGACTCGGTGGCTAGGGAGCCACTGGGCCAGGGTACATGGACCTGTCTTGGTGACTTGAGCCTTCCCTGTACCCACAGCCCCCAGGTCAACCCTGCAGGTCCCCTGTTCTCCCAGACACCTGAATGGCCCCCACGTCCTGGTTGTGGTGGCAGCGGCCAATTCGAGACACTCTGCCTTGCTGCATGGGCTCCCTCGGATGTGTCTCCCTACCTCTCAAGTGCACAGACCCCCCCCAAGCCTCCCCAGCCTCTGCTCGCCCACTGTGCAGCCGCCACCCCTATTCCACTTCCCGCTGTCCTCTGAGTGCACCTGCTTTCAGCTCCCTGCCCTGGAGCCCTTCCCCCTGACCACTCACACCTGGGCCAACAGGGTCCCCGTGCCCGGCGTTTGAGGCTCTGAGGCACAGCCCCAGGGTCCCTTTGGACCTGTTACTTGTCAGTCTTTTGTTTTTAGAAGCCAGGTATGGGTAGGATTTGGGGTTTTCTTTTAAAATTCATATTATGGGGGGTAAGCATTCCCTGTTGTTACATAACAGATTGTCCCCATATTGAGCCACTTGAAACAATAAACATTTGTTATCCCACAGTTTCTGTGGGCCTGGAATTTGGGAGCAGCTGAGCTGGTGGTTCTGGCCCTGGGTCTCTTGTGAGGTTGTGGTCAGACAAAGGCCAAGGGGGTGGGGATTGGGTCACTCAGCCTCGGGATCCCGCTCAGCAGATGGCCTCGCTGGTGCTTGGGTGTCCTCTAGCCATGGCTGCTGGCCTCCCTGAGGACCAGCAATTCAGGAGGGAGGGGCAGAGAGAGAGAAGCAGAGACGGATAGAGACACAGAGAGAGACAGACAGAGAGAGAAACGGAGGCAGAAAATGAGAAACAGGGAGAGGGAGAGAATCAGGGTGAGAGACAGAGGTGGGGAAGACAGAGAGATGACAAGAGAGACAAAGACAGACAGGGTGAGAGAGAGAGAGAGAGAGAAATGGGAGAGACAGACAGGGGAGGAGAAAGAGGGAGGGGCAGAGCCCTCGGGGTGGAAGCCTCAGGGCCTCCTCGGACTGCTCAGGCCACTTCTGTTTTAGTCTTTTCAGAAAAAAGCAAGTCACTGAGTCCCAGCCTCAAGGGGAGGGCTCCCACTTTGGAAGTAAGAAGTATTAAAGCATGTATGGGTGTATTTTAACACCAGCATCTGGGGCCAGCATGTGAGAGCACACCTGCCCGGCCCTGCAGACGCCTCTGCTGACCGTGTCGGGGTGGCCTTTCCTACCTCTTCTCTGGGCCCTAGGGGTCAGGGCTTTTTCACGTTCTCATGATGAAACCCTGTGTGGAATTTCCCCTCCTCCTTTTTTTTGAGTTTTTTCTTAATATCAACTTTTTTTACACCATGACATAAGCATTTCATATGCTTGCAAAGTATTTCTGCTTCACCCTTTGACTGTTTAAAATTAAACGTTATTCTCAGGTAATTGTAGCCTCATGTGCAGTTATGAGAAGTGACAGTGAGGGACCCTCTGGTCTTTATCCAGTTCCTCCAGTGGTAACATCTCACAAAACTGGAGTAAAACATCAAAGACGACCAGGATCTTGATATGCTTTCATTCCATAAGGATGGTCGTGTTACTTCTACGGCCTCCCTAAGCCCCTTCCCTGCCCTGACCCCTGACAGCCGCCCATCTCTGCTCCTACAGTCTGATCCTTTCAAAGGTGCACATAAATGGAATTATGGTGTGTGACTCTCGGGATTGGCTTTTTTCACTCGGCCTGGCTCCCTGGAGTTTCACCCAGGGTCTGTGTGTCAGTAGCTCCTTCCGGCCTTCCTTCCCCTGCACGCTGTTCAGGGAGTTTGTCGTTCGCCCCTTGAAGGACACCTGGGCCGGTTCCAGCTTTCAGCTGTTGTGGACACCCTGCTGGGACCCCTGGGGCAGGTCTCTGCAGTCTTCATGTCTCTGGGATGTGAGTCCCAGGGTGCAGTTGCTGGGCCGGAGGGCAGTCACAGGTTTAGTTGTGAAGTTCATTTGTAATAGCAGCTTAATCCTTTGTCTGGAAAGTAGACCATAATTTACTCTGTCATTGGACATATGTTATTTCTAATTGAGGTACAATTATAAACGATTCTGTACTGATCCTTAAGATTATTTTGCATTCCCAGCTCTTTGCTCTAGGGGGCTCCTGGTGCGTGTTGCCAAACCGGACACTTCTTGGGCCACTGACCCAGGCTGTGCACTCAGTGTCTTAGGCTGCTGTGCTCTCAGGGGCCAGCAGTGAGGGGCTGGCGGGGCCTGTGCCCGCTGGGGCAGGAGATGCAGGAACCGCAGGAGGGGGACCAGCGGAACCAGCACTTCCCTGATGGTCCTGTCCCGCCCCGCAGTTCTGGACGCCGCTGGCCTGGCACGGAGCCTCTTCACCTGGCTCTGGGAGGCATGCAGCCGGTGGCAGAAGCAGGTGCCCATGGCGGCCCGGGCTCCACAGCGGCAGTGGCTGGTCTCCGTCCACGCCATCCGCAATGCCCGTCGCAGGATGGAGGACCGGCATGTGTGCCTGCCCGCCTTCAACCTGCTCTTCGGCCTGTCTGTGAGTGCCCACCACCCAGCCCGGGGTGGAGCCTTACACCCCAGTCAGGACAACCTGCTCGGGGTGGGGATCCTGGTGCCCAGTGGGGTTGCTGGCCAGAGCCCAGGCGGGAGGGGTGCGCACAGCTGCTGTGGTGCTATTGGCTCTGGAACAGCCTCCCGGAGGTCTGGGAGGCCCAGTTCATCCTCCCAGCACTTCTGGGCCTGGGCAGCCACCGGCCACCCAGCTCTCCCAGCTGAGGGGCTGAGGAACGTCTGTTGGGGGGGCCCAGGCACCATGTTCACCCAGACTCTTGCTTCTGAGCCTGCTCTTCCCCGGCAATGGTGGCCACCTGGTCCCTCACCTCATCCCACACTCCCAGCAATGGGCCCATCGGAAGTGGAGGCTCCCAAGGGGTGTTCCCCACTGAGCCTCCAGGGTGGCCTGTCTACGGGTGGAGGCTGTGCTATTACGCCAGATCCTGCCCCGGTCAGTGCCTGGCTCCACCCCAGACGAGAGCCTCTGGCCAGGTCACTGCCTCAGTCAGTCTCAAGGCTGGCAGGGCCGTGACCCCCACCATGCTCCCCACAAGGACCCTGTGGACCGCGCCTACTTCGCTGTGTTTGACGGTCATGGAGGGGTGGACGCCGCAAGGTATGCGTCTGTGCACGTGCAGGCCAACGCTGCCCGCCACCCGGAGCTGCCCAGCAACCCCGCAGGGGCCCTGCGAGCAGCCTTCAGTCGCACCGACGAGATGTTCCTCCGGAAAGCCAAGCGAGAGGTGAGACCGGCCGATGGGCATCCCGCAGCTGGGGGGCCAGGGGGCCAGGCCGGGCAGAGGGAGAGAACCTGTAGTGGCCGGTGGTGGCAGAAGGCCTGCGCTAAACCCTGAGGGCAGGCACCTCCCTTCACTCCTGCTGTGCAGGGTGCTTGTTCTTTTTTTGAATAGAAGCAGCGCGAGGCTGCCCCTGCTCCAGCAGAAGTTGTGTGGGCCTCACGGGAAAGGGCTGCCTGTTTAAAATTTGCCCAGGATCTTGTCCTGATCAGCCACGATGAGATGACAGATGCAGAGACATCTCCTTTGAAAGGTGTCATTATTTGTAGTTTCCAATGGGAGACTCAGGGCTACACAGGAAGCACTAGGGTCGGCAGGAGGCAGAGAGGAGAGCGTGGCCCAAGCCTTCACTGTGGCCTCCGCAAGGAGGCCTGGGCAGGGCAGGCGGGCTCCTCACAGCAAGCTTAGGGTCTGGTCGTGTGACTAGGCCTGGTGGGTTCTGGGCTACAGGGATGGTCCCCAGCCATCCAGGCCAGGGGAGATGCTGCCCAGGGGAAAGGAAGTGGCTGAGGACATGGGCTTTGACTGGCTGGATCTTGCAAGAAAGGCACACCCCTCAGGGAGACACTTGCTGTCTAGGAATTGGCTGTGGGTGGGAAACTCTCTTCAGTATTCAAAAGGCCCCCAGCTTGTCTCAGCATCATAAAATACAGCAAACCCAACAGAGGACCAGTGCAGGCAGACCTTGGCGATCTTGGGGGCTTGCTTGCAGACCACTGCAAGAAAATGAATAGCGCCATAAAGCAACTCACATGAGTTTTTTCGTTTTCCAGTGCATATAAAAGCTATTTAGTGTACTGTCATGTATTAAACATGCAACAGCATTACATCTAAAACAACATACATACGTTTAAAAATACCTTATTGCTAAAAAATGCTAGTGTCAGCTGAGCCTTCAGTGAGTCGTGATATTTTTGCAGTGGTCACATCAAAGATCCCTGACCCCAGGTCACCATGACAGATAATGAGGAAGGGCAGGGCATACTGTCATCGGACGCCCTGAGCACAGACTCAGCAGAATCAACAAGGCTGAGCTTTGCATCTGAACAGAAAACCTTCCAGCATCTAGGACCGTGAGGCGGGAGCCCAGTCCTCCTGGCCACTGTCACCCAGAAGCTCAGGGCTGCCTCTCAGAGTCGAGAAAGGACTCTCTAAAGCAGATGTTTGGAGCAGGTTACGATTACTTAAAAACACCTTTTCTGAGGTATAATTGACATGTAGCAAACAGACTGCGAATCTACAATGTACGGTCTAGGTGTTGGACAGGTTGTGCCAGTGTACCCCTTAGCACAGTAACAGATGTATTCATCACCCCAGAGGTTCCTTCTGTCCTGTCATCCTCCTCCCACCCCCCCCCACTCCCCAGACACCCACTTGTCTGCTTTCTGACACCGTGGACGGCAGGGTCTGCGTTTGCTGATTTGATGTAAAAGCCCTGCCTGGTCCTGGTGAGCATCGCTGAGGCCCTGCATGCATCAGTCCCTTCCTGTGCCCCGTGGATTGTCATCTGGCCAGCATGGAGCCTGGGCCTATGGTGGGTACTGCCATCCTCACCTGTTTGCACCCTCTGCCTGCAGCAGCTGCAGAGCGGCACCACGGGAGTGTGCGCACTGATCACCGGGAAGACCCTGCATGTGGCCTGGCTTGGGGATTCCCAGGTGGTCCTGGTGCAGCAGGGGCAGGTGGTGAAACTGATGGAGCCGCACAGGCCAGAGCGGCAGGTAAGGCCCCCCACTCTGCCCCTCGACCCCATTGTGCTGGCTGAGAGCAGGCAGGTGCTCAGGGCTCAGGTGGACTAGGATACGGTGGATCCCTGGACCATCTTCCCAGGGAACTCCTGGTGCTCCTCCAGAGGGAGGGCTCCCCGCCTGATTCTAATGGCCAGGGTCCCCTAAAGCTGGGGGCATTAACAGCCAGGAGCCCCAGGTGAGCCCAGAGCTGTATGCAGGGGAGAGCAGGGCCCTCTGCCTGGCAGGGGGCCCAGTATGTGGGGTCAACGTGCAAGGTCCTGTCCTGAGAGCTGCAGGACAGGGACAGGGTGCGGGAGATGCGGAGACAGAAATGCGTGGGAGGAGCCAGATCCCCGGGCAGATGTAAGCCCAGTGGGCAGGGCTAGAGTCCAGGAGAGGGCAGGCTAAGCCAGGACCGCCACCCAGAGACTCCTGTCCGCTGCTCTTGTGGCAGGAGGCACTTTGTCAGGAAGCCTGGGAGCTTCTGGAGTGATCAGACCACCAGAGGGCGATCTGAGGCCTGATTCACAAGAGACCTGGCCCTGGATTGCCGGCCAGCTGTGGGGAGGACCTGCCCAGCTAGGCAGGAGGGATAGAAAGAGTCCAGGCTCTGGGGCCAGGGAGTCTCAGAGGCCTTGGGCAACTAAGAGGCAGGCGATGCCTTTAATCTGGGGGCCAGGGAGCTTGAGGTGGGATGTTCCCAGTGAGTGCGAGGCCTGGAGGGGCTGGTGGGACGTGGGCCTTGGGCCACTGCTCCCGAAGCTGCCGGGTGTGCAGGGGGAGGGTGTGGCAGGAGAGTGGGCGAGTCCCCTCGGAAGTGACGGGAAGCAGTGGAGCACAGCATGGCCGGGAGCCCTGGAGGAACGGCCACCTGCCTGGGCAGTGCACAGGTGAGCGAGGCCTCTTGGGCCCAGGTGGGCGGGAGGGAGGCTGGGGGTAGCGAGAGGAGACAGCCAGGCGGGGGTCTTGCTGCACAGAGCTGCACTCCAGGTCTGCCTGCTGCTGGGAACCCACCAGCCGCCAGCTCTGGGCTTGACCTTGGAGAAACTGGTTCAGGCAGGTAGGAAGGATAAGGTGGGAGGGTAGCTGCATGAATGGGTGTCCAAGCAGACAGGAGGCAAAGGAGGAGGTGCCCTGAGCCCCAGGATGCCCCAGTCCCAGACCAGGCAGGTGCCAGGTGGGAGCCGCAGCAGAGATGCTGTGTTATGATCCTTCAGACAAACTTCTCCAGGGGAATTTATAGGACCAAAGAGATCTTTAGGACTTGGGGCTGGGTAGGCCTCTGCCTTGTCCTCTTAGACCTGGCACCGTAGCCCTTTGTGGAGCCAGACAGTGCCCAGGTGGGGTTGAGGCGGACAAGGACCCAGGGGCAGGGATTGGGGACAGGTTCCACCCAGCCAGCCCAGTGGCCGCACGCTTGGTGCCGTAATGGAGGGGCAGCATCCCCGCGTGAACAGTGAGGCAGCCAGGGACCCACGTCTGACCCCAAGGCTCTCTCTCCTGCTGCTGCTGTGAGCATCTCCCCGCCCCACAAATGCCTCTTAGGAAGACCGTCCGTCTACGCTGGTGCCACCACCTATTCCTGCATCACAGGCCGTTGAGGTTATTCATAATTCCTCACTGTCTCACTAATGCCTCCCCTGAGCGTTGCCCAAAGCTGCGCTGCCTCAGACACCAGCCAGTCTCCCCTTGGGCGGCAGCGCACTCCCGGCCCACCCAGCCAACCCTGGCTGTCTCCGCAGGACGAGAAGGACCGCATCGAGGCGCTGGGTGGCTTCGTGTCCCACATGGACTGCTGGAGGGTCAACGGGACCCTGGCCGTCTCCAGAGCCATCGGTGAGTCTGGAGAGTGCAGGTGCAGACACCGTGGGAGCTTTCATCCCGCAGGACACCTAGGGGATGAGGTGTACTCATGGGAGGGGGTCCTCAGAAAGACCTAGTAGGGGACCCTTGGCTGGCTACTTTACGTGCTAAAGGTGATTTTTTTATAGCCCACAAATGAGGCTTATCCTCCCCTGCTTCTCTTTCATGCTGATGGGTTTTTTTTTTCCTATCTTAATAAAAAAGGTAAGGAAAGCAGTGCCTGCTCCCCCATCCTGTCTTCTCAGCATCATGTCTGGATACCCGGCTGCAGCAGGGGACTCAGACCTCCTTCTAGGTGCTGAGAAATTGTTCCCTTCCTGCCGCCCCTGCGGTGTGGCCCCAGCCCCTCCCAGCCTCCTGAAAAAGCAGTTCGCTGCTTCTTGATAAATGTGGTGCCTTCCTTAGAGATGGACACCAGGGTGGGGGAGGCAGGGAGGGGCCAGGCTCCTTCCCAGGAGAGGGGACCAGCAGGAAACTCTCGGGTGAGGTGTGAAGAGGAGGCAGCAGAGGGCCGGGTGGGGCATGAGCCTCTGAGGAGGCTGTGCCGTGTTCTTTTCTGCGAGGGGGAGATAAGGAGCCAGCATCCAGACCCTCTCAGGAGGGGAGCTGCAGGGGCTGGAGAGGGCCAGGGCCACAGCCGGGACAGTGTCCTGGGCCTGTCACCCCCTTTGAAGTGAGACAGCTGTCATGGGAAGCTGACCCCTCGCCTTGCTGGGTTCTAACTCTGCCCTTGGGGACACAAGAGGCCACATTACCCTGCTTTGTTCCTTTGTAGTCCCCGGCACCCCACAAGACAGCGTTTTCGCCCTGTGTCCTTGCCCCATGGGCCAGGCGTTGGAGGCTGGGTGGTGGCAAGGAGGCCCAGGCCTGGGGACAGGGGTCAGGGGAGCAACAGGGGTGCAGCCTCACGACCCTCTCCCACGCCCAGGGGACATCTTCCAGAAGCCCTACGTGTCTGGCGAGGCAGATGCGGCCTCACGAGAGCTGGTGGGCACAGAGGACTACTTGCTGCTGGCCTGCGACGGCTTCTTCGACGTGGTCCCCCACCAGGATGTGGCTGGCCTCGTGCAGGGCCACCTGCTCAGGCAGCAGGGCAGAGCGGAGCGCGTGGCCGAGGAGCTGGTGGCTGAGGCCCGGGAGCGGGGCTCCCATGACAACATCACAGTTATGGTGGTCTTCCTCCGAGACCCGCAAGACCTGCTTGAGGGCGGGGCCCAGGGAGTGGGCCTCTCAGAGCCAGAGACCAGCTCTCCACCGAGAAGCTAGGAGGTCCAGGCCCCCCGCCCCCTGTTGCCCTCCCCCTCAGATGCCTTAGGACCCGACAGGATTTGGGCAGCGGATGCCACCCGCACAGCGCTTGCCCCACTCACCTCCCTCCATGCTTGCGTCCGCCCATCCTGGTGGCGTCCCAGGGGATGGTGGGATCTCCAGAGGAAGCCCAAGGAGGAGACCTCAGCGAGGGGAAGGGCCCGGGAAGCGGACAGGTTCTGTGCCCCATTGGGCCAGGGTGGAACCATGGGCTGCGGGGGGGGGCCGCAGCCAGACCAAAGACAGCGGGCATGCACGTGGGATAGCAGAACGCTGTGTGGGGGACTCTCGGGCAGAACTGGGAGCCACAGACATTTTCAAGTGCCCTGGGCGCCAGCAAAGATTTCCCATCCGCCCCTCACTGCCCGTGCCTGAGAGGGCTTGTGGGGACAGATGTGCCTGGCAGGTCCCGGTGCTTGGTGGGTCCTGGCCGAGCTGAATGGCTTCCCAAAGTGGGGAGGGTAGCCTCGTGGGGAACAGGGGGGTGCCAGGGGTCCGATGTGCAGTGCCCACCCGACAGTGACCTCCCCGGTTCCCTCTTGCCCCTCATGGGAGGGGACGCTTGACAAAGACGCGTGGGTCTTGTTTGCCGTCTTCTTCTCCAGGGAAGAGGACGTCAGAAGCAGTATTTCAGGTTCTGTCCTTGTTTATTGGTGCCAAGAGGACCCACCGTGTCACGTAACTTAAACAGAGCTCAGCATTTATCTTATTCTTTAGAAAAGCTAAGTATTATTTTTTGGTTTTTTTGAGAAACTTCTTTTGCAGTATTACTGAATTTTTTTCCTAAATCAGGATTGAAAAAACACTTTTCCAGGTGGTATTAATAAGTGCCTTAAACAGCTTTTGGTGAGGCTGTAACTGCCGGGCCCGTGACGGAGTCCCATAGCATGTTTCACTTTTTACAAAAGCAGGATTTATTTTGTCATAGTGGCATGATTTTGGCCAGAGTTCTGCCCAGAAGAGTTCTTTCTACCTTTGTGCTGTGCCAGTGAGAGCGAGGGCTAAGCTGAGTGGCTAGGGAGTCAGTGACTGTGGCCCTGCCGCTCACATCTGTGATTGGACCCCAGGCGGAGGGACTGAGCTCTGTTGAGTGGGCAGGTCCTTACTGCTATTTGGAATGTTCCAGAAGGTCTTGTGTGTTGGTAGCTAAATTGGTTTCCTCCAGAAACATGCTTAAGGGGCCACGCGAGGCCGAGGCAGCCTGTGGGGCTCGGGCAGTATTTCCAGGCAGTGGGGATGACGCTGGGAGTCTGTCCCACCCAGGCTGCACCCCCTCCTGGGTTCTTGTGGCCAGTGGCCTCCTCTGCCCGCAGCCCACCTGCATGCGACAACCTCACGGCCCGGTGGACCTTGGGAAGGTGGAGCTCAGTGGCCAGGTGATCAGGTGTTTCTCCATTTAACCTGAAGGCCCAGCTCTCTGGGGCCCAGAGGTCCCCTCGTCGGCCCCTCCCAGCACAGGGACCCAGGGAGCCCAGTTCACCCGCTGCGAGGGGCTGGCCTCAAGCGTGCACCTAGGCCCAGAGCCGGTCTTCCCTCTGGACTGGGCATGCTCAGCCTCCACCAGTCCTGGCCCTGGTCTGGAAACCTCGGTCCCCTTCTCAAGTCCCAGCTGCATCACTAGGTCATGTCTTTGCACCTCCCTGGGCCTCAGGGTCCCCTCTGTAGGGCGCAGGGCTGCACAGAGTCTGTGCAGCAACGGCTGGCATTCTGGAGGAGCAGGGTCGCTGGACGAGCTGGGCGACCTGGGGTGGTGTTGCCAGTGCTGAGGGCACCCTCGCCAGCAGGGAGGGGTGATTAAGTATTATTAGTGTCTATTCTTAACATTAAATGAACTGGAAAAGAATCACTGGTGCCAACGCCTGCCCTGTACGGAATATGAGAGCCCAAGCAAGCTTCCCAGGTGGAGCTGATCCCAGCCAGCAGGGCAGGGGAGGCTGGGAGAGGGCAGGGCGCCCACCTTCAGGGTCAGGCTCCCAACCCACTGAAATCCCAGGGGCAGTTACAGCCTCCCTGGCCTGGCCCAGCCCATCCTCAGCATCCAGGACTAGGAGCTGGGCGTTTAGTGGGGAGGGTGACGGGGGGCAGGCCCCATGGGAGAAGCACAGACTGTCTGGGGTCCTGAGTCAGCTTTGAGCCACCCCTGCCCTCCCCGGGGCCAGCACATGGCCCATCCTCGCCCTTTCCCTTGCGACTGGAGCTCCAGTGTGGACGTGGGTGTCCTGGCCACCTCAGCAGTATTCCTGGGGTGATGGGGACAGCTCCACTGCTCCCGGGCCCAGCCCCCATCCAAACCACAGGGAAACCAGGCGGGCCCCGTGCCAAGGGAGCTGTCAGGTTTGATCCTGGCTACAGCCCAGAGCAGGGTAGCCATGGGGGCCTGCACTCTGCCAAGGCTCCAAGGGTTTGCCAAGTGCGGCTGTGGCCCTGCCAAGAGTTCTGTGCAGTCTCAGTGGGCTTCCTGAAAGTGGTGTTCTGTGCGGGGTCGAGGGGTTCTTGTTCCTAGATGGGGTGGCTGTTTCCCCACTCGACAAGTCCCAGGGGTTGCTGTGCTCAAGTGTCAATAAACCACGAGCTCTGAACCCTGTCACCTGGGTCCGAGTACGCCTTCTTCTCCCGCCTCCAAGTGCCTGGTCCCCTGTTGGGGGACCATCTACCAATCTCGCAAATCGAGCAGATGGATTTGGGACAGACCTGCCCCTCTGGTCCACCAGCCAGCCCGGTTCCCGTCCTGGGCCCTGGCCCCACCTGCACCAGCAGCAGGAGGGCATGTTCACTGGGAGCCTCTTCAGGGAGTCACAGGAGTAGGATCAGTGCCCTGGGGAGCCCGCAGGAGAGTCCTCAGGGGCCTAGGGAGTTCAAGGATGGTGACCCTATCCCCAGAACAGTCAGCAGCTGCCCAGGAAGCCTCCTGTGCTCCGGCTGAGCTCAGACCTCAAGGGAAAATGGGAGACATGAAAAAGGCCTTGACACAGGCTGCACTACAGCCCCACATGCTGCTTGAACTCCCCACAACGGGGAGTTGTGCTTTTGGGACAGTTGGGACAGCTAGTGGGGCAGGGACTGCTGCGTCCCTGCCTCCTACTCCTGCCCAGGTGCTGAGCCTTTGCCCCCCTCCTTGCCTGTGGGGCCTTCCTGCTGAGGACCATGGTCCTTGCCCGTCCTGCCCAATCACTCCCCGAACCCAGAGCTCTCACCGCCTAGGCGGCCCAGGGCAGTGGTCTCCCACTCAGACTGCAGCAAGGGAGGCAGCTTTATCTGTCTCCATGGTGTCACAATGGGGATGCTGGGGCTCCCAACCAGGCCTTGGGCCCCCCAGCCCCACCTACGCACCCATCTGGCCCCCCTGCCTGCCCCCTCCACCTCCACTAAGCTCCTAGCAGAATCTGCCCAGCAGAACCTCGTTTTTAAGTATATGCTGTCTTGTTCGTTCCCTGATGAGTTTCCTCACGTGTCTGAACTACACCGCAGCCAGCTGGTGGCACCCCCCTTCCGCCCCCGTCCTCAACTCCAATGGCAGAGCTTGGAGGCTGAGAGCACGCTGCCTGGGGGACCCAGCTGAGCTGCCCTGGGGCAGCTGGGCCTAGTTCCCCTCCTGGACCAGGACCAGGCCTGTGTCAGGGCATGGGGGGTTGCAGCAGGGGGCAGACCTGCACCCAGGGCCCAGTCCGGCACAGGCAGCTGAGGCATGCAGGTCTGCTTGAGGGAGGGTGGGATCGGGTGATGGAGACCAGGTCTCGGGCCAAACAGCTGGGAGCTCTAGCCTGGGGAACCGGGCTGGACAGCCAACAGAGCCAGAGAGACAGGCAGGAAGCCAGCAGGGAAGGCTGGTGACTAGCTCCCCCAACCCTGGTTCTCTTTGGAGGGTCCCAGGGCCCCTAGCTGCCCCCTCTGGTTGTCACCAAGCTGGTCTGGGTGGAGGGGGTCCTGAACCAGTCAAGGCCAGGCCCCCGGCCAGCCCCAGGCGGGAAGCTGCGAATCATCTTGGGTCTGCTTCTGGGGACTTGGGTCTGGACGTCGGGGCACCCAGGGCCGAGGAGTGTGTGCTCCTCAGAGCAGCCTGGGGACTAGGCAGGCCCCTCCTCAGGCCACTGTCTCCGCCAGTGGCTGTGGCTGTGGAGGGGAGACCACGTCCTCCTCCTCTCCCCTCTCCGTCCTTTCTAAAATGATAAAAGTAAGACGACAACATGACAAAACTTTGAAAAGAGAAGAAAAAACAAGATTTGATTTCCAGCGTGGAACCAAATAAGAAAGGTAAGTGTTTAGAAACAAAGCTTAAAAAAGAAAACCTCTTGAAATGAAAGACACCTTTTTGCCCAAAGAGACTAAAACAATATAAAGTTGCTGAAGATGAAAGACATGAGATATAAGTTATAAATATAAGCTATAAATTTTAGAGTCAGAACTGCGTGTACATCTTTCATTGGCAAAAATGGGCTGCAATTTGGTACAGTTCACATCCATTGGCATCATTCTGTTCTCCCTGAGGTGAGGCCTTGATGAAGCCGGTTCTCAGCAGCTGCTGTTCACACTCCACCGGGTGGGTCCCTTCCAGAACGTTCCCTGAGTTCCCTGTCCCAGCCGGGCTCGCCGAGGGTGGCAAAGGCAGGCCGCCCGCACCACCCCTGGCTCCAGGCACCGGCCGGTGCAGCACACCTGGGCTGCTTCTCCCATCTTGAAAACATCACATGTTTGACGTAAACACATTGAGAAGCAATGTCACAGATCAGATGTAAAACAATTTCGGGCCCACCAATCAACCTCGAAACAATCTCGCCAGTGGTACGGAAGCCTCAGCAGCATTTCTGTAGACGCTTCTGTACAGATTTACCTGTGTGTGTATCTCCCTGCACACCGTTAGTTTGTCTCGTCTCTCATAAAAATGGGATTTTGGGGGCTAGATGCAATCTGCCCCATGTCTTTGTCGCTCAGCGTTCAGTTTCTGATATTCATCCATGTTGTATGGGTTTCTGGCTTTTTTGCAGAAACAGCTGCTGTGAACGTTCTCATAGATCTCGTGCCCATACACCAAGGCATGAGGGCCGGGCAGGATTGGCTACGGAAGTTGCAGGGCCTGGTGCAAATCAAAACACAGGCCCCTTGATAAATTATTAGGAATTTCAGGATGGCAGTCACGGAGCCATGTGCTGGGGCAGGCCGTGTAAGGGCAGATGTCTTCACCCCCACCCAGGGGGTCGTGCAAAGGGCCTGTGACACGCAGCAGCCTGGGCTTGGGTAGTCACTCCCCTCTGGTTTAGTAGTTTTGTTGTTAGATTGCAGCTCCTTCAGGTCAGGGGCCACCCTCTCACCTCTGTAAATTCAGCCCCCGACATGGGGTCAGCATGTGTCTGTCCACCTACTGAGTACAGGCTGTAACTCGCCAGGTGGGCTGTAAGGATCAGCAAAGACACAGCTGAGGACGCCCCCTTGGAAGCAGGCGTGTGGCAGGCAGAGGGGCAGAAAGCAAACCCCCAGCTCAGGTCCTTGGCCGAAGAAAACGCGTCTCTGAGTCTCCGCTTTCTGTCTGCTACTGTGGGCAATGGTGTTGTCCCCCTTGGGTCACCCTGAGGATGGAATTAGCGGTCATTCTTCTCACTGTAGAGTTCCAGGATGCAGGCCAGAGACCTGACCTTGACCTTGAAGGGTCACTCCTCTTCTGGGCCCTAGATCTTTTCTCTGTCCTGGAGGGAAGTCAGCCCATCACTGAATCCCCATAGACGGGCCCCAAGCTACTGAGATAGAGGTTCAAAGTTGAAAAAGGTAATCCTACCAGCTGGAGCTCCTGCCAAGATGCTCAGCGTGGGGCCCCTTTTGTGGGGCGGATGAGGCACAATTGATAACAATGGTGCACTTTAGTGTTGGCCCTCTGAGACCTGTGTGTGATGAGCTTAGAGGTAAGATTATGATAATTGTCCAAAACTGCGACCTACCGCCATCCTCCTCCCCGCTCTCTGGTGCCAATCTCAGTCCGTGTGGTGCTTGGGACAGCTTCATCCTTCCACCAAGCTGCTGAGTGACACCCAGAAAGCAAGAGGGGACTGCCTGCCCCTCCCCTACACCAAGTGACCTCTAGAGGGCGGGCAAGGGTTGCCTCTCCTGCTGCCTCCTGGACAATGTCCCTAAAAGTCACGTGGACACTTCTCACCTAAAATGTCCCAAACTCATTGCCCTCCCCCTCCCCACCCCAACTCCACCTGGGCTCAGGGACTAGTGTCACCATCCTCTACCCTGGTACCCAGAACCCAGGACCTGCCTCTGCCCACCCTCCTTACTTCCAGATGCCTCCTTTAAGGAGTCCCCTCCGACCTGTGGTCCAAATGGCAACACCTCTGAGAGTAAGCGAGGGACCCACTAATGACTGAGCTGGGACAGCAGCACCCATGGGACGTCCGGTCACTGAGCACAAGAGGCATGGATAGTGACAAGTGGGGTGACCAGGGCACTCAGTGCCACTGTAGCCAAAAAGGGAACAGCTAAGATCTCCACCAGCTGGAGTCCTTCATCGGGTGGAATCTTACTCAGTATTTGAAAATGCTATTCCCAGATAATTTTAGAAAGTGTAGATAGGGGGAAAAAAGGAAATTTAAATTATTATAAAATTAGAAGGCTTAGGGTAAAAATTTAATGATGTTAAAAGCCAAAGCCAAATACAAAGTGTACCAAAGCATGTATGTGATCACCTGCATAAATGTATCAACGTGCAAAGAAGTGTGTCCAGTCTATTCACAAGAAAGGCTGAAGGGAATCCCACAACTACTGGAATCATTACCTCTGGGTGGTCAGACGTTTATTGGGGTTTTTGTATGACTATTTTTGTAATTTTTGTAATATTTTCCAGATTTTTGGTAAGCAGGTCTTACTTTTAAAATCAAAAAGCGGGAGGAAGCTTTAACGTTATTTAAAAAGAGAGAAGCTGTTGGTCCCTTCACAGTTGCTTGCTGGTCTAGACTTGGGGTGGAGAATGGGCTGGAGCTGCTGGACGGAGCAGGTGGGCCAAGGCCAGGAAGCCTGGCTGTTTGGCAGCACCTCCCCATCCGTGGAGGCAGACCTGGGGAACCCTGGAGATGGGGCAGTGGGGGAGTCAGGAGCTCGGGAACAAGGGCCTGGTGGCCAGTGACACCCTGAGTGCGCCTGGAAGCTGCTGAACCATCTGAGTCCGAGGCTGGCAGGTCAAGGCTTTCCTGAACCCCCTCTGGCTGCTGTTGGAGAACAGGAGAGACCTGGAGAGGGCGGGGTCTCTTCCATTCACGCAAATAACACCCGTCTATTCGCCCTGAGCCCGTAGATAATACCTGAGAGGAACACACAGACTCACGCATTGGGCCACGGGTGGAAGCGTTTAACTGCGCCCGGGAAGAAAAAGAGGGCGGGGAACAGCATTCTGGGTGGAGGGAAGGGCAAGTCGGCAGCCGCCCTGGAGGAAAAAGCATGTAATCCCTGGGCGGAGAAGGAGACGGAGGCTCAGGGCTGGGCCAGTGGAGAGGCGGAGACCAGGCTGCCTTCGCCAAAGTCAGAACTGAGCTTGGCCGCCGGCTCCTGCTGTGGCTGGGACCCTGCGGGATACCGGGGCAGAGACTGCGCTGCACACAG